TGCATCGTAACAGGAACGTCAGGAAAGTCGGGCTGTCAAACCATGAAAAATGTTATTCCGATTAATCACAGGGTAGCTGCCGATTTTTATCGCAATTAATCCAACGGGTGTGTGTTCGATATCTGTTAGTATTTGTGGCTAATTCAAACGATGGAATGAATACAATTATGTCGTTTGAAAAAGTTCTACAAAAATACGCAAAACTTTAACAAAATCAAAACTTTACTTTCGTCGTTTTATTTGAACACAACACTAACATGATCACAGGAATTGAAGAAAGAAACACACGACGATCTGAGGCGCTCTCTTTTTCTACTTTTTATAGCCATCTGCTGCTACCTAGTGGAAGAGTATTTAATTGTTCTTCCTGTTGCCGTCGGAGAGACGAACAACGAAGAACTAAATATTAGTTTTCAGATTGTTTAAGTAAAATCGGATCATTTTTCACGGTACACTAATGTGCTGCGGCCCAGAGGTTGAGAGTCACAATATTAGAGGCACGATAAGAGGACGGACGGGACGAAGAGCACATCGTTCTCTGTATGTTTTAAAACTTTTAACCTGATTAACGTCACTAATTAATAATGTGACGAACGTCTTCATTCTGACGGTCGTTAAAATGTCTGTGATTTAATGTTGGAACGTCGTCTAATTTAACTGTAAATGATGGAAGATCTTTTTTATATATATGTTTTTTTGTGTGTGTATAAACCTCTCCTCTGAGTGAAGGCTGCTGGTGTTGACGCTGCTGCTGGACTGAACTCTGACGAAGAAGTTTTTCTGTGAATATTCGTTTTACTGCCGACTCAGCAGATATTTGGCGTTTGTTCAGAATCACAAAGAAATGATTGTCTAAAAGTTTTATTTCTTCACTAAACGACATCTTTTAAAATTTAAATCAACTACATGTTTATAATCATAAATATATTGTATATTTTTATTGTACGTAGTATATTTGTATTTTTCAATCCATGGACCAATCACAGCTGGGGGGTGGAGTCAGGGG